TGAGTGTCTGTTTGGGCTAGGGTAAAGGCTACATTTTCAATGATAATGCATGTGACAGGAAAGAGCTTGCTTTTTCAGAAACATTATTTTACAAATCTCCCACACCCATGCCAGATTGCTTTCCTTGAGAAGTATACATGAAGGACAAGAGAACATTCGTATCTCTTGTGTGTTTGCATTTGCACAAATATATATTCCTGCATTTAAAGGATAGATACTGACACATGGTGCTTTCTCAGCTATTCTCCTCCTTCCTTTCTTTTTTTCTTTTTGAGAAAGCAGCTCACTGACTTCCATGGATGCCAACTAGCCACAGGATATATACTCTCACTGCTTGCCCAGCACGGAGATCATAACTACCTGTTGGGTACCGGGGGACGCGGGGCTAGCGGAAAAACCTGCAACTTAAGTCGCCAGCTTTGGAAAACACCTCTCCCCAAGCGATCTCCTTTTTAACAAAGGCGAAGGAACCATACATTCTGGCCTTTATTAGGTGGCTGTCTTGCTTGTTTGGCAGGATTGCAGCTGCCTAGTGGCCAGTGAGCCTGCCTGTAAGTATTTTGTATGAAATAATGGGCCCCCAATTGTGTGACTATGTCTTAGCTATAGTTGCTGTTGCTGTGGAGAAACCCCATAACCAAAGCCAACTTTGGAAGGAAAGGGTTTATTTGGTTAATGTGTTCACATTACTGTCCACTGTCTTCATCACTGAAGGAAGCCAGGGCAGGAACCTGAAAGCAAGAACTGATGTAGAAGCCATGGATGAGTGCTAATTATTGCCTTGTCCCTTAATGCTTGCTTAGGCTGCTTTCTTCTAGAACACAGGACCACTATCCCAGGGGAGTTCTCATGTAGGAAGGTTTAGGACCTCCCACATTGATCACCAATTAATAAAATGCTCTATAGGATTGTATGCTTACAGGTTGATCTCGTGGAGAAATTCCCCACTTGATGCTATCTCCACTCAGGTGACAAAACTTTCCTAAAGTTACCATAAAGCTAGCTAGCTAGCACAATATCAGATTGTAAGCATGTAAGGATTGTTTTTTCTTTGGCAGTTTCATATCAACTGTACCTCACTATTCTATTCTCAGTTCTGATTTGTTCTTTCCCAATTCTGTCTGTTCTTCCTCAAAACATCAGTGGTGTTCTCTTTGTACTTTCTTGGTTCTGTGTTTACTCCTCATTAGCACAGGTGGCAGAGAATATGCAGTGTTGGTCATTCTGAGTCTGAGTCCAGGTTACCTAGACCTGTATAATTTTTTGGTTGTTATTTATTTATTTATTTATATTTGCCCATTCATCCATTCATTTACCTATAATTTTAGGCCCAACCTCAGGAGGTGCTCTTTAGTTTTGAGACAGGGTCTTTCTAAACAACACCAACTAACCTCAATATGTATCCTAAATTGGTCTCAAACTCACAGAACTCCACCTGCCCCTGCCTCTTAATGGCTGGGATTAAAAGCATGCGCCATCAAAGGCAACTCAGAAGTACATTTCTAATAATGTTATTATTTATAATAATAAATAATAAAATTTTGTTATTTTCATTCATAACAAAATGAAGTTTTTTTATCACCATTAAAGTAAAAGACTAAAAAATGCCTAAGTATTCACTGATTTTATAAGCTATATTGAAATTTAAAAATTTATAAAATTTTAAATTATGAATTTTAAAAATCTATAAAATTTAAAAAAAGGTTCGATAGTCTGATTGTTTGGTTTTGTTTTGTTTTTTTGTTTGTTGAGACAGGGTTTCTCTACAGCTTTGGGAGCCTTTTCTGGAACTCGCTGTGTAGTCCAGGCTGACCTCAAGTTCACAGAGATCCACCTGTCTCTGTATCCCGAGTACTGGGATTAAAGACGTGCACCACCTCTCCCTGCTGATTTATTATATAAAAGTAGCAACCAGCATGTCTGGTATGTAAAAAATACTATTATACTGAAAAGAGGCATTGTTACTATGAAACATATTTGTGGTGATTATAAGGTCTCTATTTGCTTAAAGTATAATAATCTGACAGCCAATCGGACTTGTCCTTTCTATCTGGAATGAGCTTAGAAATGCTTCACTTGAAACAGGGGTGTGAAATATATATGTAGATGGTGAACTATTTTCTTTCCTTTTAGTTTTATGATCTCATATGTAAGTTTATATCATTTTTTTATACTCAGTGACTTTCAGTCATTTAAATAGAAAAATCAAAATTTTTAGGAATTAAAAATAATAAAGTGTTATGTACTGTATATGATTGTTAGTGCTGTAGATAGTTGTGAACTAAAGTGGTAATAGAATTGTTTATACCAGCATCCCACATCCACATAAATAATACCTTATGTTACAGTGTGGATGAAAGTTTAATCATCAATATGTGGTAGAAGTTGTTCAAATAGAAGCTCATCTCTTGAAAATGTCATCATCTATTTATCAAAGTATTATTTTAACAATGTGTTACTGAAACTATAAATAAGATATAACCACCTCAGGAATTGAATCATCTTAGAATATTCTATTTTTGTTAATCACCTCACCTCCAAACTAAGCCCATGCTTTACAATTTTGGAGTTTCATTGTTTGTTCCCTGACCTTTCTGTATTCGATGATCCTTCATTATCACTCATTTGCCACCAGATTACTCTTTTTCAGTTTTTATCAAAGCAATGTTTATAAAATTAAAATAATTGTTTATATTTAATGCTTCCAAGTCTCACATTCAATCATTTATTCATGACTCTATTCTTCCACTTTTCTTTTTTAAAAAAATATTTATTTATTTATTTATTATGTATACAATATTTTGTCTGTGTGTATGTCTGCAGGCCAGAAGAGCTCATTACAGATGGTTGTGAGCCACCATGTGGTTGCTGGGAATTGAACTCAGGACCTTTGGAAGAGAAGGCAATGCTCTTAACCACTGAGCCATCTCTCCAGCCCCTCTTCCACTTTTCTTATGGGTAATAAGAATACTTTCTTTCATATTGCTTGTTTATTCCACATTCGTTTTTGCAAAACCAACATCCCATTTTGGACATCTAATTTTCCTATGTAGATATCATTCACAATTAAGCATGATTTTTTTTCTGAATCTAATCATTATTCACTCGTGTTTTCTTGAAAAAAATCACTTCTTTCTTACTAACATTAATTGTCTCCACTATTTTCTCCAATTATTTCATAAATACTGACTATAACTCTACTCTTGTTAATTTTGTCTCTTTAATTGTGAATGAACCACATCATGTACTTCTTGTAGATGAACAACATAGAGTAGTCCCACACTAGCTCAGAATTGAGTATAATAAGGGGTTCTTTACTTAGAGATAGACTCACACATCACAGTCCTCTGCACAGCAGGGAACAGGAACCAAATCCAGCAGCCGAGAGAGAGAGGCTATACAAGCTTTACATCTGCATTTATAGTACGAGAGTCCATGCCCCAGTGGACTGATATCTTAAAGGCTATTGGCTGAAGGAGTTCCCAAAGCAACTACTGATATCCAACATATTCCATGATACACAGTAGATCCTGGATAATTCTAATCAGTAGCTAATAGACAGAGGAAAAAAAATTGTGGAAGATGAAAAAGAAAATGAGAAGTGTGTGGAGAGTATCTCGAAAAGTGGAAGAGCAAATGTGTTGAAATTCATTAACAACATTTGCAAAAATATAAAGGAGAAAAATCAAACAAAAATAATATATTATAGGAATGAGAAAGATACTTTTAAAGGGTAAAATCATAACCATTTAGATTGTTTCATAAAGTCAATAAGGATAAAAAAAATAAACTTTTCTAAGAGAGTGTGTGTGTGTGTCTTTCTCTTCTGCTGCTCCTGTCTCCAGAAACCAGTCTCTTCTCTCCCCTCCCCGTTTTCCCATTAAAAGAAAGAAAAAATTAAGATAAGTAGTTACTTTATAAGAAGGAGTGACTTAGGCTCTGTTTCAGAAGTTGGAAGCTTAGCTGGTAGTATCTTGCCTCGAATTCACCCTTCCCTTTGACCCACTGCAGAGAGGGTTTCTTCTTAATGGTTCTGATCTCCAAGCAATGACAAAAAGGCACAGGCTGTGACTGTAAAGTTAAGGTTCCTGGTGCTATTTTTCTCTCCAAACTCATAAACATTTCATAATTCTTTCTGTTCTATTTGCACTTTATATAGCATATCTAAGTATGATAAGTATTATCAATAATCTTCATGCCAAAGACTCAATTATACATACTCTAACATTTTCTCTAACAAAAATTTAGACATTATTTTTTAAAATTCAAATGCAAGCAAGTTCTATGGACATAGGCATTAAACATCAAGATTCTTCGTCAAAATTTTAGATAGATGCCTCTACTCCGCTTGCTTATATTATTCTCAGAAACCTCAAGACCTGAAACTCCACTTTCCATGTTGCTCTCATCACTACATCCTCAGGCTCCAACTGAAATGGCTCATGAATTTCTGCTTACACTTTTCAACAACTATTATAGTTCAGAGACTTCAAAATTCTTCCAAAAATGTCCATGGTTGGGTTCTTCACAACAACTTCTTGGTATCAAATGCACTACTGGTACTACAATCTTTACTACTCAGTGTCTCTAAAGGAACAGAAGTGATAGAATGAATGCGTGTATATTGAAAAATAATTTATTCGGTTGACTTACAGGATGTGGTCTGTAACATGAGGGGCTGGCTTGTTGGGGTATCTGTCCCACCCGGTACTCCACAGCCGGCAAGTCCCAAAGAAAATCACTCACAAGTCTCCATAAGATTAAAAACTGACTGGCCCATTAGCTCCATCTTCTTATTAACTAATTCTTACATCTTATGGTAACCCATAATTCTACTCTGTGTTAGCCATATGGCTTGGTACCTTTTTCAGTTGTCAGCTCACATGTTGCTTCTTTGGTGATCTGGGCAGGAATGGAGAAATGTGCTTCCTCCTTCCTAGCCTTCTCCTGTTCTCATCACCCCGCCTCTACTTCCTGTCTGGTTGACCCGCCTATACTTCCTGCCTGGCCAATCAGCGTTTTATTAAAATACATGATTGACAGAATACAGACAATTCTCCCACACCAGTGGTCTGGGTTAGTCTTTCCTCTATGTCCTGTTCTCTGACACAACAATAAAATATGCTATCCAAATTTAGGGTGGGACTTCCTGTTTCAATAGTCTCTATAAAAAACTGTAAATTTGGCAAAACACAATATACTGAGATAAGAATGAGTCCATAACATCCCAGACCATGTCTTCTTTTGTCATCGAACAAGGTAATCAACAATGCTTTAACACAGCACTCCAAGTGACATCAAGCATGTAAAGCAGTAATGGGGTGCCTTGGGATCCCTAAGATGCAGTGGTTCTTGGACACATGGAGATGATTTCATTCACTGTGGCTGAGTTCCTTAACTTTTCGGGGACAATTGGCCATGGATCCCTTGCTTTCTGCTTTTTCTTGTTGTCTTTCTGTGAGTAATAAACCAGATTTGTCTGATTTATTAGTTGGTTCAATTTTATAGGTTTGTTTCAAAATGTAAGAGACTATAAAATAACTCAGTCTTTGAAAACTCAGTATTTATACCATAAATTTCATTTTTTTTTTGTGTGTGTGTGTGTACCTATTATTCTCAGTACCTTAGCTTTCTATTGAATAATCACTGAGTTTCTGTTATCTATTAATATTTTGGAAAAAGTATTACATTATTGATTACAAAGCTTTGGTGTATTCTGGGCAAACCTTGTCTTAACAGAACATCTTGTATTATTTTGAATCCACTGATTCTCAACACTCCATAATTGTATTTACACTATGATAACTTTAAGGTCTTTATTGATGGAAATTCTGTCCTTTTAATGTCTATAGATGTTCAAACCAGAGAAATATATATTCAAATAATGCATGTAAATTCATCAGAATTTTGTCTTCATATATAAATATGTTGCTAAAGATTTTCAAATTAAGTTGAAGGGAAATGACATTTATAACTGCAAATATATAGCTTTTTGATAATACATTATATTATACAGCTAATTATTAAGTTGTTTTTATTTTAGAAACTAACCAAAATTCCTAAAGAAATATATACAGAATATCTTTGCTGGTAACACTTTACAGAAGTATAATTTCATAGAAGAGCCACTGCCTTTCTCGGTTCATAAAATTTTTGTGTATTTGTAAGCTCATGCTTTACATATCATTTCACTCAACTAAGTAATAAAGTACTTACAGAGTATATATGTAATATGATAATAGACGTGGTGTTATAAAGTACTTACAGAGTATATATGTAATATGATAATAGACGTGTTGTTATAAAGTACTTACAAAGTATATATGTAATATGATAATAGACGTGTTCTATTTGGAGATAGGGAGGGAGAGAAAAGGGAGAGAAAAAGAAAGATTCAGAGTCAGAGAAAGTGAGAAAGAGAACACTGAAAATGTTGCTTGACTGTATGCACAAGACAATTAAGAATTCCTTTTTCTAGGGTTCCAAATTAGACTTTTTCTAGGGTTCATCTTTAGGCTTTTAAAGTGAACTTCAATGAAATTTATCTCCATTTCTATAGCAAGTTTATTCACAGAGACACAGCATCATAACGCCAAAGAAAGCAAAGCAAACTCATCATTTCCCTTTGCTTGTTTTCTCTGAAACACGTTAACTCTTCACTCTGATATTCCTAAATGGCCTCAATTCAGCAACTGTGCTCATGCTGAGGGGATAAAGGGATTCATATGCATTGCTCTACTTTATGTTCACCTGTGAACTTATACACCGTTGTCATTCTGATTACAAAATCTCAGAATTTATCTCAGCTGCCTCTGAGTTTCCATCTTTCATCTTATCTGTCTTTCCTGACCTATAAACAAATGGATATTAGAAAAATATTAGAATAGTACTCAAATATCGAGGCTTCAATAAAGAAGGAGCATAACATATTTTCACATAGTTTTTTGACTTTCCAAATATGAAGTTTTATACATACAGCTTCAAGAATGACATAACAATGGGATACATTCTGAGACTCCCAGTGTTTGGTGATGACATAATTCTGTGAGCCACCATACAATCATTTTTCATAACTATGAATGATATAGTCTATCACTCAAAACAGTCCATTTATGCAATCAAGGAACATGCTAAACAGAAGAAAAAAGGGGCTTCTGAGAGCCAGCACAACTTGACACACTACTGGGTACTTATTTTATATACAGAAGGAATACATCACAAAATAGCAAAAATGTATAGTAAGGAAAATACATAAACCAATAACATTGATTGTCATGACGAGTTACTATGTACTATACTTGTATATGGATAGCAAAACAGTACGTTGGTTTATTTTGGGATTACAAGAAAAATCCATACTTCCTTATGCTGTGATTTTATGCTGGCTACATAACAAAACAAAAATATTTTAGGTATATTTATATAACTACTATTGTGTGCCAATTTTACTGCAGCAGATAAGTCTCCAAGAAGCCCAACAAACATCCTAAGCCTTGGTACATAAATTTTCATAAGAAGACATCTTTTTTTAACAGATAGATAGATAGATAGATAGATGATAGATAGGATTTATTAGACATCTTATGATCACAGATATTTAGGGAAGAATTCTTACAAGTGTTTTTACTATTTAACACACAGCACTTCACTCAGAGACTTTCTAATAATTATATTTCAAATTAACAAAGCAACCCTACCCAGCATGCCACAATTCCTTCCACACACCACCTGCTTCCTGCGGAGCCAGCTGCATCGATTCCACCTGCCAAAGTCTGCGCCCCTTGACGGGTAATTCCATTTTCACAGAGCTTCCCTCTGATGTTAGGTGATGAGAAGCCCAGCCTTACCCATTTAATGGTAAAGCAACATCAAAGAGAGCAAGGCCACGGCTCTTTCCTCAACCCTGCACAAAACCAAATGGCAGTTCCTCTTCTGTGAGTTTTCTAAAACAGTGATCCTCATTGGCTTTTGTGGACCTTTGGACTGGGGCCTTTCAATAAGAACTGGTATCAGATGTGTGTGAGTGGTCCAAGATCACAAGATGCAATGTCATATTCTCCAAACCACTGTTTCTTTTTCAAGTCATGGAAACATTTATTTGGCAGATACTGTTCTTCCTGATCCATAAGACTTCTGTAAGACCGTGGCTCTCAACCCTCCTGATACTGCAATCCTTTAATACTGTTCTACTCCTCACGCTGTGGTGACCCCAACCATACAATTACTTTCGTTGCTACTTAATAATTGTAAATTTGATACTGTTATAAATCATAATGTAAATATCCGTGTTTTCCGATGGTTTAGGTGACTCCTGTGAAAGATCAGTTGACTCAAAGGGATTGAGAACCACTGCTCTAAGAACTCTAAGGGATTTCTCAAAAGGCAGCCTGTGACTTAAAACCACCATGAAAAGTCATGCAGAAAGCACACACCGTAAGCTTAGCCTGGTCAAGAAGCCACACACACAGCACATTCCTTTACTGTGACTTCAGTTCAAAAGAGAAAGCAAAGTCGCTCTGCTATAATTCCTTCTAACTTCCCAGCCCACCCACTGGACATATCTGATTACTTCTTCAAACACCCAGGCAGGCAAAAGGTTAAGTCAGAGGTAAATGGCTGACGATCTAGATCAACAGCCACACAAAATTAATTTTATTTAATTTTTGCTAGGTACTATACTACTATACTGTTGAGCTGAGACATAATCACAGCAGTTTCTGAATGTAGAGCAGTATTTGCCAAAGACTGTGGTAATCTCTTTGAAAGCTAGAGGGCTAGAGCAATGGCTCAGTGGCTAAGAGCATTGGTTGTTCTTCCTGAGGACCTGGATTCAATTTTCAGCACCCACATGGCAGCTCACAACCGTCTGTGACTCCAGTTCTAGGGGATCTGATACCTCCTTCTGGCCTCCACAAGAACCAGGCATGCGCATGATGCACAGACATACATGAAGGCTAAGCATCATACACATAAATTTTTTTCCAAAAAAATTAAAATTTATAGCACAGCCAAGTATTTTGTTGTTGTTGTTTTGATTTGTTTTTTGAAACAGAATTTTTCTGTGTAACTGCCCTGGCTGTCCTGGAACTCACTCTGTAGACCAGGCTATCCTCGAACTCACAGAGATCTGCCTGTCCCTGCCTCCCAAGTGCTATTAAAGGCGTGTACCCATCATTGCCTGTCAACACAGCCAAGATTTTAAAGATAAAAAAATCAAGTTAAGGTAAGAAAAATGAAGCTACAAAGTTTATAAAAACAAATGAATAGAACTGAAAAATGTTGTATTAAATTATGTAACCCAGACCCAGATAAACAAGCGCTGCATGTCTCTCTCATGTGTGGACCCTTGCTTCTAATTGTTAAGTATGTGTATTTAAGTGGGAGTAAGTGTGGATGGAGGTTATGAAACTGGAAAAAATGTGAGAATACATGTGATATAAAAACGAAAGGGGAATACTGGAGGTAGAAATTAGGTGGGACAGGAGGAAGGGGGAAATGGGGGAGGTGGGGTGGGAGTTAACCATCCACAGCTGAGTATTATGACAATGGCAGAAGAAACATGCTACTTTGTAAGCTAGTTTTTGAAAGGGAGAAGGAGAAATGGGGAAAAAGAAAAATTCCAGGCCAAGGAGTTACATAATCTAAGGCTATAGAGCTAATGAGTTGTGGAGAGAACATTTAAGGCAGCAAACTAGACTCTACCCAGCCTGCTGCTGCTCTCTGCACTAGGCTCCACCCACCCTGCTGCTCTCTGCACTAGGCTCCACCCACCCTGTTTTCTGCACTAGACTCCACCCACCCTGCTGCTCTATGCACTAGACTCCACCCACCCCGCTATTTTCTGCAAAGTCCCCAAGGAGCTCATTGTTAAGGTTGCAGTAAGTACTAGAGTCTCTCATGAAGTTAACCCAAGAGAAAAAGAACTCTAAAAACAATGAATTTTTGTACTACCTCTTTCATGACAGATAATTTTCTTTTTTCAAGATTTGAAGTTTCTGGTTTCTGTTTCTTCCATTTTATCTTCAAAGCTTTTTCTTGAAGTTCCCAGTGCACCAATGCTCTATTCTTTGACTTATGTATCTCATGACGGTGTACCTATGCAGAAGGAAAAACTGTAAAAAATGTCTTCAGTAACAAAGAAGTTGCCTGCTCCTATGTAAGACCACTTACACTAGTTCACAACTTCTTATTCCTTACAGGTTCAACGTGTGTGCATGTGTGCATGCATGTGTGTACATTCTTGGCTAAAACTTTGATAGTCTTCAAAAAAAATGATCTAAGAGAGAAATATCTAGAACTTGGAGGTCTAACCTAAAGCCACACAAAAATATTAACTTTTACTTCAGTTATAGGCTACCAATCTTCAATTCACAAGTTAAAACGTATCCAACAAGTGTTACAACATTAATTCGCCGACACTTTACACATGATATAAAGGGTACCAAATCCAGCACAGCCATCTTTGGCAAAGCACACCCCTTTCATGATAACTGCATCACTTCCAAGTCAATGAGGCACTGTTTGCATAGCTCTGAAGGGGCACCATGTGGAAGTGAGATCACAGATGATGCAGTTATCCAGGGAAGGAGAGTCCTGAGGCAGAGGAGATAGGAGTCAGAGCTCCTAAACAGTTGGAAGGAAAGAATCCATAGGGTTACTGAGGAAGAAAAGTGGACATTTGCCTTTACAAATACGCTAGTGCTCAGAACTGTAAACACGAACAAAACCTGGGTCATCTAATGCAGTTTTAATCATGCTAACATGCAAACTACCACAAAGACTAGCAATTAAGAATTGTGAATATGCAAATCAGAATCACAACGAGACAGTACTTTATACCCACGAGGAGAATTAAAATATAAACTGGAAGGTCCACGGGATTTAAATCATATAAGCACTTTGGGAAACAGTTTAGCAGTTATTCATAAAGTGCAATATGAAGATGCAAGACCTAGTCATTCTATTCCAGATATACACAACTGCCTGCTATGCAGGCAGAGACTTTTACATGAACATTCACAATGGTATTACTCATAATAGATGAGAAGCATAAACCAGATGTACAACTGACTAACAGATAAATCAAATCTGGAATCTTCATTCAATGCAATCCTATTTCACAACAGGAAAGAATGAAGTAGTTATACATACTATAACATGGATGGATCTTTAAAATATGCTAGAAAAAGAGGCTATACATAAGAGCCCACATACTGCATTCTATTGGTAAGAAAAGTCAAGGCTAGGCAAATCTAGAGAGACAGAAAGTAGATTAGTCACTGCCATAGACAGACTAGCCAGGGTTACCCAGTACAGGCCTGCCTTGAAAATAACAATAACACCAGTAATAAAATGCTGAAGATATTTCCAGACAGAAAAGACAAACAGACGTACAGATCAATTCTAGTTAAGTGGTAAGACTGTAAACCAAAAATGTTTAGTAAGATTCTAACAGTAGCTAATAAGCCTTAGTAAAATCAGAAATTTCTTAAGGTAGACTTTTAGGTTTTACACAGATGTGAACAGATTAAATAAAGCTAATCAACTTCCTCTGTCTGAAGGCTAGACGCCAGACACCAACTAAAACATAGAGTCCAGGACTTTTTCAGGGTTAAACTTACCAGATCTTCAGGAGTTGCCCGGTGAACTGTTAGACCATAGACCATTTACAGTATTCTTTTAAAAAAAGAAAGAAAGGAAAAAGGAAGAAAGAAAGAATGAGCTTTTAAAATGTTTCCTTATAAATTATTAACAGTTACTGAGTTTTAGTAGCTGGAAATTGATTGAAAGTCCTAAGACCTTTGGAACCACTATTGTCTCTATAATGTTAAAACAGATCACTTTTAAATATCTTCTAGAAAATAACCTATTTTTAAGTGTTATACAGGAAATAAAGCACTCTCTTATTTTAAAATAAGGACTAAAACAGGGCAGCATATATTCAAAACAATTCAGCTTAACTGAAGCTATAATGCCCACACACTAGGATCCCTCGAGGTAACCTACAAAGTGTGGTGACTGCAGCAAGCTGCAGAGGGACCTTTTCCAAAGACACAGTTTCTATCTCACTAAAACTCTAATTCCAGGAAGGAACGAGGTTACTGCCCTTAGTATATGAACTCTGAAGGCGGTGCAAATATCCTTCTCTTCCTTCCAAGATCAAACACACGTCCAGAAACACCCCTGAGCCTTCTACAGCTGCGCTCCATCACACCACATACAAGAGTCATGACATCTACCCCACAGAAGACCTTACTCACTGTTCTGAGACTTACATCACATGCCCAGAGCCATGGCGTCCACTCCCCAGAAGACCTTACTCACTGTCCCGAGACTTACATCCCATTCTTGCCTCGCTGCAGCTTTCTTCTTTACTTTCAGAGTTTTTCTTCCACTTCCCCAGGGACCAAAACGATTCACTCTGATTAATGACATCTAGGAATAGTAATATTTTTTTTAAAAAAATACAGACAAATATTTATGTATCATAGAGAAGGGGACACCTAGGACAAAGAAAATCACTCTCAAAGTAACAGAAGAATTTAATCATGTTGAAAGGAATAGGCTATCAAAATATTTGGTTTTCTCATTTTACAATTAATAGTAAAGTAAAACCAAATCACAATAAAAAGGTCTTAAATAACAAAACTTGTTTCTTAATAAAGAACTTTAGAAATATAGAAATTATGACCTAAAATAGAAAACTTAAATGGTTATATCTGCCATCAGATACAACATTCACAATTAAAAGAAAAATGCCAGGAACTGGGCAACATGAGGAAGGAAAGCACAGTCTTAAGCATGCTAACGCTCACCCCTACCAGGCACACACGTGCTCACTCCGGAGGAGTAAATCCTTTAGAGAGTCTGATTCCACCTCTAACAAATCTTCACACAGCACCGAATGGAGACGATTTCGTAAATCACCAGCATTAGCTGACAATCAAAATCACCATGTGGGACTAAACATCACGAAAAGTTAGGGAAAGAGTCACAGTCCACAGTCCTTGCAAACCAAGGTTTTTGCAATCAATACATTATGACTGCGAAAACAAAACAAAAACAAGCCTGACTTCTGTTCCACAACCTCTTTACCACTGTGGCAATGCAACATGAAAATATCTCACATTCTAAGAGTCTGGAACTTTTACTGGACCTCACAGCCAAAGCGAAAGTCACTTACAAGATTGCTATCTTAGGGTGCACTTACCCTGTCTGCTTAATCTGTCTTTAATGGAACAATGGAATGTCAACCTTAATTGTCTTGGATTTCCCACGTAACCACCTTTTTGCAGTCTAAGCTAATGGGAGAGCTATGGTCTCAAATTATGTACTCTTCATGCCCCTGACCCAGAACAATGAATGTGTACCCTCTGCTGAGGTCGAAAGCAACCTTCTAAAATGAGTATCTATTTATGGAAATGGCTGATAAACAATGGTGTTTGCAGTAGTTTCTTACCTGGGTCAGTTAGGATCACTGGGGGCTAGTGATGTAAACCCTTGTAAAAATCTGTTAAAGATTTCTATAAAGTACCCCATTCTTTCCCCATGTGATACTTTCTGTACTGTTCAGTAAATACAGAACAAAGCCTTTTATTAAAGATAGACACACAGAAATACAGACAGATGCAAGTGAGCACATAAGACACACACACACACACACACACACACACACACAATCACACACACACACATGTAGACCAAAACATAAACACAGGGACAGACTTACAAGACAGCCTTCAGGCAAGCACAAATTCACTCGTTCAACAGACAGAGGACAAAAGAAACAGAAAGCATGAGCAGAGAATTCAGATTTGGCCTTTGCTCTCGGTTAAATGATCTCAAGGAGAAAGAAATGCTTTTCTCTCCTTAATGTGACCATGGTGACTCAATCAATCACTAATGTATGTAAGTGTAACCAACCAAAATAATTATATAAAATTTCCAACTAACCTACAGGGTTTATTATCACCTCTTCCCCCCTCGCCACAATGAAGATGAGATAAACACAGGGCCTAGCACATGCTAGGCAAGTGTTCTGCCCTTAAGCTCCACTGCCTTCCCTTTTCATTAAGTACTTTTAATAAAATAATCTGCTATACTAAAGACACCTAAACTCCAGTGCTTCTCTACAATAATCTCACTAGCTCTCTATATTGTCTTCCTCCTATTACGTTTACTCTTTAAACATATGTCTAATTTCAGAGCTTACAATCCAGCAAAGGAGGTAAGTCACAAATGGTTAGAAAAAAGCACGTTATTTTGTCTTTTTCTGTGGTACAGAACTCAGACTGATGCCAGATGTAACATACGCCAGGCGAGTTCCCTTACACTGAGTTCTATGCCAGTTCAACAATTAGGACTTGTTTTCCCATGACTAGGCCCTTTCTATTTACCTATTTTTTTCAGGTTTTATTAACACACACACACACACACACATATATATAATTATTTGTGAACCATTTTCATTCATGTCCATAAAGTATTTGATTCTATCACTTCCCAACTGCCCTCTCTTCTCCCCCTCCAATTGGTCCTATGCCTCTTTACAAATAACCTCCCTTCTACTTTCACATCTTTTTCTTTAAATCTAGAAAGAAAACATAATATTTATCTTTCTGGGTCTATATTTAACATAATTTCTAGTTCTACTTGCCTGCACATATAATTTGATTACATTCTTTTTGTGACTGAATAACACTCCCTTGCACATACTTTTATCCAATTATCTGTTGATGGGCATCTAGGTAGAACCCATAACAACTACTGAGGACAGTGTCATGATAAACATGGATGCACAGGTATGCTGTGGTATCCTTACTTTTGGTATGTACCCAGGAGTGGTACAGCTGGATCACAAGATTGAAGAACTTCCATACTGGTTGCACTAATTACATTCCCAACAACAATATACACGGGCTCTTCTCCTGCTCCCAGTGTCCTCACTATTATTTGTTGTTGTTTTCTTGATGACATAGTCATTCTGGTGAGACAGAATCTCAACGTAACTTTGACTTGCATTTCACTGATGGCTGAAGATACTGAACAGTTTTTTAAAGAACTGTGTGTGTGTGTGTGTGTGTGTGTGAGAGAGAGAGAGAGAGAGAGAGAGAGAGAGAATGTCAGACATGCGTGGATGCACACAGAAGCCAGAAGAGGGTGTCAGAATTGCTAAAGCTGGAGTTATGTGTGGTCATGAACCACCCCACATGGGTGCTAGGAACCAAACGTAGTCCTCTAGAAAAACAGTACACAGGTGTTAATGATTGAGCCATCTCTCTAGCTCTTGAACATTATTCTCATGTATTTATTGGTCATGGGTACTTGTTTTGAAAACTGTCTGTTCAGTTCATTTGACCAACAATTAGTCAATGTCTTCTTTTGGTGTTTAGATTTTTAAAGTTTTATATTTCTGGGTATCAATCACTTGTTAAATAACTGAAATACACCATGGAAACAGACTTCTACCCATACTGTAAGCTGTTTCGTCACTCTCTGAGTTCCAACTGTGCAGCTTTTTAATAGGGCGTAGCATCATTTTTCAATTCTTTTACTGCATTATTATTGCTCTCTGGGGGAGAGGAAGGAGAACATGCCACCATACATGTATGAGGCCCGAGAACAATTTGCAGGAGTTGGCTTCCTCCTTCAACCGCATGGGCCTCAGGGATAAACTCAGGTGTTAGGTTTGGCTCTAACCCACTGAACCCCTCATCAGCCCACATTTATCAACAGTCTTATACAGAAAGTCTTTGCCTGTGCCCGTATCCTGTGTTTCCCTGGTTTCCTCGAGGAGGTTCATGTCTTTCATTAAGGTCTCTGTTCAATTTTGAATTGAAGTTTTACAATGTGAAAAAAAAGGTATATGGTTTCAGTCTTGTACTTATGAACACAATCTTCTCAGCGCCATCTGTCACCAACAATTAAGTTTTATGATGGTGATGGCAATAACAGCGGCAGTGGAGGTCGTGAAAGCATCAGTGAAGACAGCTGAGCACTCGCTATAGGCTCTATAAGTTTCGCATCTTAGTGTCTTTAGTACAAGAGGCTCAGTCGGGCAGTAGTGACACATACTTTTAATCTCAGCACTCAGGAGGCAGAGGCTGGTGGATCTCTGTGAGTTCGAGGCCAGGTTGGTCTACAGAGCTAGTTCCAGGACAGCCAGGGCGACACAAAGAAACTCCGTCTCAAAACAACAACAAAACAAACAAAAAACCAAGAACTCCATAAAGAAATTAATACTTTGATTCATTTTAAAGATGAGAAAACTAAGGGGCAAAGAGCTAACCAACTATGACGTTCACCTGTGGTAAACATAGCCAACACTTAACAAGACATGGAACAGGCAAAAGTCTAAATGAACCACTGCAATTACAGTTATTTTCCAACAAAGGAGTCAAAACAATTTAATTCAAAGATTATCATTTTCAGTAATTCTGTGAAAAAATCAGGTTCCTACCTCATATAGGTTATAAAAATTAGCTTAAAACTAGTCATGTAATTAAAATGTTAGAGCTAAACCTATAGAACTCTTAGAAGAAAACCTGAGTATAAATAACTGTGAACCTCAGGTCAAGCAACAGTTTCTGGAGTATTGAGACAAAATCACAAGAAACCAAGATGTGGGGAGGATGGCATGGTTCACCAAAATTTTTAAAGACTACTCAAAGGTACAATCAAGAAAATGAAAAGGTAACTAATGAGTGGCAAAGGTATTTGCAAATCATTTACCTTATATCTAGACTATACAAAGAAACGTCATAATAGGACTACTCAAACAACCCAATTTACAAACTGAAAAGACATCTTCAACTATGATACTGCAGATGGCCAATAAGCACATAAGAAGTTCATCAAGATAGGGGCCAGTGAGATGACTCAGCTGTTAAGAATCTTTGCTGCTCTTTCAGAGAACTGCAGTTCAATTCCCATCACCTACATGATGGCTCACAACCACTTGCAATTCCAGTCCAGGGATCTAGCACCATCTTCTGACCTCCAAAGGCACCAGGCAGCGTGTGGTGCACATGCAGACATGCAGGCTAAACATTCACACGCAAAATAAAAGGACCTGTTTTTAAAAATGACCAACATAATTAAATATAAGTCAAAAATCACTCTAGGGTGATTTTTTAAAAAAAGGACCAGACCAGTACTGACTATGGAGAAAGTGGAATATTCATGTATTTGTTGATTGGAACATAAATTTATATAGGCATTTTGGAAGACCAGTGGGAAGTTATTCAGAAATTTAAACCACATGACCTCAATTCTCCCACATAAATACTCAAGAGAATTAAAACCATTAGTCCACAGAATTTGTAAATGAACATCCATAACAACATATTTAACAGACAAAAGCAGAAACATTTCAAAATTAACCGATCAGTGTATAAATGTATGTGATATATCGATACAATGGGGTAATGTTAAGCAATAAGGAATAAAGTACTGGTGTATGCTACAATGTGGATGAAGTTTGAATATATTAACTATGAGAAAACTAAGCACAAAAGCCACATATCACACGGTGCTATTTAATGTAAGTACAGACTAGGCGCACACACAGGAAGATCAAGTGTGCTGGTGGTTTCCTGGAAGAAGGCAGGCGTAGTTTGTTTTTCTCCTGGGGTGGGAGAAGAGATGAAAATGTTCTGGGATTCGCTGATGATGGCTTTATAACTGTGAATGTACTTACGTAAAGGATGAATTTTATGGCACATGAATTATATCTCAAAGCTGTTGTTTTCTAAAGTATAGAAAATATAATATTGTTCAAAGAAAAGAAGTCTGGTATATTTTACCCACTCAGATCTTCAATATACTATGCAGAAATACAAAATGGCAGTGAATCTGCAGACAAATTATATATCAAAAAATTGTATTTAAAACATTTAATGACAGAAAAAAAGTTAAATGTAGAGCTAAGAAGATGGTTTGGTAGGTAAAGTTCTTGCCTTAAAAGTAGAGACCTGAATTCCAATCCATGGTACACATGTAAACACCAGGAAGGCAAGGCAGCCCTGTAATCTCAGGGCTCAGGAGGAAGAGGTAGGCAATCCCCAAACAGGCTAGTTATATTACCAAATCAGTAAATTCTAGATTCAAGGGAGAGACCGTACTTCAATATAAAAGGAAAAGTGACAAAGACACCCGACCCATTATCAAACTCTTATACACACACACACACACACACACACACACGTACACACACATATATATCATACACATCTGCAAAAAGAAAAAGTTCGTTGTAAACAAGTGGTCTATAGAACTGCATGCACAACCTCAGCGATGTTAATGCATGTGCAGCATTAATGAAGAGCCTCACCACTTACCCCACAGCTCCGCCAGGCACACACTGGCTTAAAGACAACATGGTACAGTGGCTAAGAGTACAGCCTGGAATCACCGATTGTACGGATTCGCCCATGGGCTTTATCACTGACTCTAAAATGAAACTGATTAAATATGGGAGCAGCTTGGAACCCCCCGCCTGACACATACTAAGTATCATTTAAGTGTTGATGATATCCGTGGCAATTATTAATTCTCTCACATGACTTGAATAAGGCTTAGAGAATGTAATGACATTGCTCAAAGTGACATAAATAATAACGAAGAGAGCAGAAAACTGCCATATATATATATATAGTGTGACTGACTATAAGGAACATGCTAGGAAACCACTAAAATGGATTAGCTCTGCTTGGCTCAAAACAAGCAACTCTTTAAGAGGGAGGGAATTTTTATTTCAAATTATATTTAAAAACATTACGGTTATCCATAGTTTAACTTATCTACTCTGCTCCATCTCAACTAGGAACAATTTTGTTATTAATTTCCTGTAAGGTTTCTTTTTCCCTCATTCATTCACTGCACTCATCAAATAACTTAAGAGTACTTGCTAAGAGCCAGACATCAAATAAAACAAGAGAAACAGTCTATGCCCTCACAGAGGTGGGGATTCGCAAAGGACCATAACTAAACCACATGTTAAAAATAGAAAAAGCAAGCATAGATAGTCGATTCTTTATGTCAAGTACCTAGTACACGTGATGAAAAGCTACCTCCTCTCCTCAATTCCCTCCACAAAGTCGAGGCTGAAGATTAAGAATGAATAAGAGGAGCGGAAAGAAAATGTGCGAGGGGGAAAGACCATTTCCAGAACTGTGTTCACTTTCAACAGCAACGTCTTGAAAGGGAGGCAAGCCCGAGAAAAGTCAAGAAGGCAGAGCGCCACAGCAATGTGAGCGCTATACTAAAGACCACGGGAAGCCCTTCCGGGCTTTGTGGGAGCGACGGGGGTGGAATTCTACTAGATTCACCTTAACTAGTATGAAAGACTGGAGGGCAACCAGAACACTGTCCCTGCCATCAATTTTACCCTGCTACGGGGAGACAGATCTCATTTTCCTTCTTCCTGAGATCTTAATGGAGCCCACTCTTAAGGGCCCTCCCACACGAAGGTGAAGCTCCGACCTTCTCACACAACGCCAAGCGCCCTTTGGAGCAACTTCAGACTTCTGATTTCCAATCCCAAGCCTGCTCCAAACTCTAAAGCGGCCCTTTCTTCGAAACCCAGCTCTAACCGCTGTACTGAAAGGACACGCCCTGTCCCAACACCCCGAGGACTCTGCCACTCCCAGGCAGGACAATAAACACCTGGAACACCGGATAGCCTCGGGGTTTTGCCGCCTGCGGGGCGCCCGAACGATCGCGCGTGCGCACGGAAGGGCGCCCCCGCAGAGGGAGCACCGAGTCCTCCCCGGAAACGCACTCCGGCTCTGCGAGGAGAGCAGCCGTGCGGCGCTGAGTGCCTGGAAGACTGAGGCGCCGGCCGCTTCCCCTCGCCTTACGCGCGGACGTCAGGTCTGCCCCCTTCACCCAGCCTGCCTTGCCGCTGGCCGACTGCTGCCTCCACCCCGACTAAAACTTCAGCCTCCTGAACTGCAGAGCCCGCAACAGGGGAACGCGGAAAGTGGCTTCCGGGATGTTGCCAGTGTTACCAGAGCCCGCCCCCACGCCGTTGCGTATATCCGGCGAGCCCCTCGGAGGCATCGCAGAGCCCGAGCATGTGGATGGCTGGGGCGGTGTTTTAGCTCGCTCTGGGCTCTGCGGGTCTACATACCACACTTACTTGTTTTCACTTTTGTTCGTTTACTTAAAAATATTTCTTACCATCTACCAGTGTGCCAAACGCGCTGGGTTCACTAGGAACGAAGAACAGACCCGGCCCTCAGGAAGTTTATAGCACCGCAGCAGAAAGCTATTGACGACAGAAACGGTTACGGTGAAAACACTGGCAAATGCTAAGGAAGAACCACACAAACTAGATAATGCCCCTACAGGAATATTTTAATTTCCCAGAAAAGCTGAAATTCAAGGAGGAGTAGATCATCAAAGGAGAAAGAACATTTCTACCGAGGAAATTAGCTCCGCAAGGATGTATGCCAAAATGCATAGAAGTTGAGAGAACTTGGTGGTTGTGCTTGGCGAACTGGAGCCAGGATGTGTATAACTTCGCTGATCGTGTTAAGGACTTTACTTGGTAACTTCCTTTGTAGCCCCTGACTTTTCGTGGTTAAGAAAGAGCTACGCATGGATCAATAGTGTATATTCAGTCATCTAGGTGCAAGGAACCGCCCTCAGAGACTCCCCAATCTGTTTTGGTGTGGATGTATTAGTCAACACAACCATCCCCTCCTCTCCAAATTGCTGCAGTCACCTGGCAGGTTGCCGACACTGACGAATGCCCGTGCTGACTTTAAATTCGCGCCCACTAATTTTAGGTAGGCCACCTACTGATTGAACATTTTGTTACAGGTCCCTGCTTCATTAATTCTCTCACTTCCTTGGTGAATGTGGTAAACGTTCTTATTTATCTCTTTCTCTAACCTCGTAGCAGCCTATGGTCTTGCTTCTTACTTCATTGATAATTTAAAAAAAACTTCCAGACGGATTTCCGTGAGTTCAAGGCCAGCCTGATCTTACAAGAGCTAGTTCCAGGATAGCTAGGACTGTTACACAGAGAAACCTTGTCTCGAAAAAACAAAAAGAGAAAGGGAGAGAGAGAGAAAAAAAAAGAAGTAGGAAGAGGAGGAGCAGAAGGAGAAGGAAAAGAAAACTTCTATCAACTTTCATCACTTCTTCAGTCCTCCGACCGACATATTTATCCACAGACTTCATCTTTTCCTTCAGTTTCAGAAGCTCAATAAAATGTGAACACACACACATAAAAGAAAACTACAAAGTGGATAATAAATTGATCAAAAGCAGTGATACAGAAAAAAATCTAAAAATTAGACGTACCTAAAGACAAAAATAAAGATAGTAACGATTTCTCTTTAGAAACAAAACTAGACAGTAGAACAAGAACGTGTCATTCCATCTATTTCTTTCTTAGCTTTGCTGTTTTCTTTGTAGATATATAGCAAAATTGTATATCTATATGATATATATAGTAAATTTTGTCTTGAGTTTATATATTTTATACATATTAAAGGAAAATACATTTTCTTTAGAAAAATAACAAACTAATTCTGAAATTCTTGTGAAAATATGGAAAGACCTAGAATAACCAAACAAAAACAAAATAAAAGGGACAAAATTTGATTTTGATTTTATGCCTGATTTTATTTAAGACTTATTATAAAGGTTTTAGTAGTCATAATGTCATGATATTGGTAGACAGTCATTTCAAATATATCAATGGAGTAAAACAAAACTCAAAGTCACACAAAGGTGGAAAATTAGTGTTTCACAAAAGTAACACAGTGGAGAAAGGATAGCTTTTTAAAATGAATCTTTCTGGCATTGTTTTAGCTCCATATGAAAAAATGGAACTAGGCATTATACCTAACACATTCAAGAAATTACCTGAAAAATAGTTATAGGGTTGAAGATATGGCTTCACTGGCAAAGTACCTCCTGCCTAGAAATGAAGACCTGAGTTCCATCTCCAAGCCAGGCATAGTGGTATGCACTTGTAATCTGTACTGGTTAATTTTAAATGTCATCTTGTCACAACCTAGCATCACCTGAGGGATTACCTAGATCAAAATTGCTTGTTGGCAGTCTGTGGGGTATTGCCTTGATTACTAATTGGTGTAGACAGGCCTAGCCCACTCTGGGTAGCACCATACCTAAGCAGGTGGTCCTGAACTGTATGAAAAAGATAGGTTAGTATAAGCCAGAGTGCAGGCCAGCTAACAAGCACCATTATCAATGTTCCTGCTGTGCTTCTTGTCTGAAAAGTGAGTTCCAAGGTCTGAGACTGCCACGTGGAAGAGCAAGAATGACAACTTTTAAGGTTCTGCCTTGAATTCCTACTGTGACTTCCCTCAATGGTGAGATGTAATCTGGAATTGGAAACCAAATAAACCCTTTCTTCCTCTATCTTACTTTAAATTGGGGTATTTTATCAAAGTAAGGACAATGGATACTAGAACATGATCCTAGTGCTGGGGAGGCAAAGATAGGTGGACCCCTGGAGCTCATTAGCTAGCCAGTCCAATTGAATGGGGCTCCAGGTTCAGTGAGCAATCCTGCACATGCCTTTACTCCCAGTACTTAGGAGGCAGAGACAGGCAGATCTCTGTGAGTTTAAGGTAAATCTGATCTACCAAGCGAGTTCCAGGACAGACAGTGACACACAGAAAAACCCTGTCTTGAAAAAAATGTGGACAAAGATGCCTGACATTGACCTCTGGTCTCTACATGTGCAGGCACGCACACATGCATGCACCCAGACACACAGTTACGCATGCACACACACATACACACAATTTATTGTAAAACTAAACGTAAAATCTAAAACTGTAAGCCAGAAAACATTGAAGAAAATATGTGGATTGGGCAAACATAATCCATGAAAGATAATTTGAATTTCATCAAAATTTAATTTTTCTTTCCACACTTTTTCTTTTTTTCTCATTAAACTTGTTTTAATGGGTCTCAAAATTCTGTGACAGATTTTTGGTCAAGTTATTTCCACTAAAAAGTACTGATTTTGAAAACTAATAACTTAAAACTGACACACACACACATACACACACACACACACACACACAATGGTCCACAAAACGTTCTCCTTTCCTTCTGAAGGTTTTACGATGCATTGTTATCATTAACCAGTCTTTTACTATTAAGCTTAACTGGCCAATTGAGACAAACAGTTCTGAGGTTGTTCTTCCACCACTGATTAAGACTGGGCTGCAGGTGCTAGGGATAATATTCATTTTGCCTTTCGAGCTTTCTGGGCAGACTTGGTGACCTTGCTAGCTCCAGCAGCCTTCTTGTCCACGGCAACTGTCTGCCTCATGTCACAAACAGCAAAACAACCCAGTGGGAGGATAGTCAGAGAAGCTCTCAACACACATGGGTTTGCCAGGAACCATATCAACAATGGCTGCATCACCGGGTTTCAAGAATTTAGGACCAACTTCCAGCTTCTTGCTAGAACGACGAGCAATCTTTTCTTTAAGCTCAGCAAACTTGCATGCTATGTGAACTGTGTGACAGTCTAGTACAGGAGCATAGCTAGCACTAATTTGGCCTGGGTGGTTCAGGATAATCACCTGAGCAGTGAAGCCAGCAGCTTCATTTGGTGAGTCATTTTTGCTGTCACCAGCAACGTTGCTACATCTAACGTCTTTGACAGACATGCTCTTCACATTGAAGCCCACATTGTCCCCTGGAAGAGCTTCACTCAAAGCTTCATGGTGCATTTCAACAGACTTTACTTCTGTTGTCACATTGACTGAAGCAAAGGTCACCACCATGCCAGGTTTTAAAATATCGGTCTCCACTCGGCCCACAGGGACAGTCCCAATACCACCAATTTTATAGACATCCTGGAGGGTCAGTCGCAGAGACTTGTCAGTTGGATGAGTTGGTGGCAGGATACAATCCAAAGCTTCCAACAGGGTGTTTCCACTGGCACTACCATCTGGCATGCACTTCTGGCTTACACCCTGTGAGTGAAACAGCTAATTGTTGGTGTCAACAAAATGGATTCCACCGAGGCACCCTACAGCCAGAAGAGATATGAGGAAATTGTTACGGAAGTCAGCACCTACATTAAGAAAATTGGCTACAACCCTGACACGGTATCATTTGTGCCAGTTTCTGGTTGGAATGGTTACAACATGCTGGAGACAAGTGCTAATATGCCTTGGTTCAAGGGATCCACACTTTTTCATTGCCTACTCTTCCTAAACATCCTGTGTTCAATTCCTGGCAACCACTTATCTGCAGGATCTGTTATAAGGTTGAAATTTAGCCCAGCTCTAGGCATTTTACAAATTATTTTAAGGGCAGTCACTCTTGATGGTTTTACATTTTTTTTTTAATTAAAGATTGGGAATGTGTGTGAGAGTATGCATATGTATGGGAGTGAAAGTGTGGGTTGTGTGCAATCAAACTGTGGTGTAAATAGATCCTCAGTGAATTCTGGTATTCAGACTCTGTTCCACTAGTGAAAGAACCATTTTCCAAACTGTTTCCCTTTGACTTTTCTGTCATGAGGTCTGGTGCCCTCTTCTGGCAACAGAAAGAAGGTGCTGGGGAGTGCCCCACGCTTCCTCTCGCCAGCAAGAACCACGCGGGACACAGGATCCTTCTGCAGAAATAGCTTTAATGCCCCTTGGGAGAGAGAGCATCAGCCAACATGGCGGAGACCCAGATATGAAGGAACCCATCCCTTATACAGGAAACAGACCTTGCTTTGGACGTGTCACTCTTGGATTGGTCAACTGTCCAATTAGCCCAGGTGATGCCTCGGGAGTAGGCGGGGACTCAGTGGAAATTACCGAGCACATGTGCGTTCACCTGGCGGTGAAGCCGGATGTCAGCGCCATCTTGTAATGGAGAATGTGGCTGCGGCCCTCTACAGGGGAGATGGCTCAGTGGTTAAGAGCATTGCCTGCTCTTCCAAACGTCCTGAAAAAGGGGTTGGAGAGATGGCTCAGGGGTTAAGAGCATTGCCTGCTCTTCCAAATGTACTGAGTTAAATTTCTGGCAACCATATAATGGCTCACAACCATCAGTAATGAGGTCTATGCCCTCTTCTGGCACCAGAAAGAAGGGGCTGGAGAGATGGCTCAGGGGTTAAGAGCATTGCCTTCTCTTCCAAACGTCCTTAGTTCAATACCTGGCAACCACATAATGGCTCAGGCCATAGGGCCGTAGGTCTGTAGGGCCATAAGGCCCATAGGGCCATAGGGCCATAGGGCCATAGGCACAATCATCACAAATACAGATCTGTCTCTATCAGACATACAGGGTGCGGGTGATAAACAACCCTGAAAATCATAGCTCATTTTGCGGAAAATTTTCCCTTTTTTGTAGTAATTGTTAATTTTAGAGAAATTACACAAGTATTTCTCAGTACATTGAAAACAGAAATCACATCAAAAACGATGTCATTTATTATAGAAACCATGTTGGAAAAAGCCCACCCAGGCAGATGTGCTGGAGTGGAGCTTGCACGGTCCTCGTCCCCATTTCCCCTTGTGTCATCATCTGGGTCAGCTTTTCACACCCTATGCAGGAGTCTTCTTCAAGAAATCACACCCCATCAAGGACAACAGCCCTTTGATTTAAGGCAAGGGCCGTTATTACTCTCAGCAGCATCCCAACACTCATCCTGATACATGCAGATCTCTGCTGAGGTCAGGGACCACAGAAATGGGTCTGCTGGGTGAGGCAGGGGTTGCAGGACACTGGGGGATTAGGTAAAGGTGTCTTGTGCCTGGTGTCTATAGGTCCATATTTCTATATGGTGTGGCAGCCAGTCTCTGAAGCCATAGTCAATATCTGAGGATGGTCACATAGCCTACCAGACAGGCCTTCACTACCTAAGAAAAGGTCAGGATGTTGTTGCTCCTTTCTTTGTAATTTGGAGGATGCCTGATAGGGATGCTAATTCAACCTACTGGCAGGTAGTGTACAGAGCCTACAGGTAGTTGTGGACATGACAAAAGCCATTCACCTGGTTACCTAGGAGACAGAATGCTGGTGTATTTCCCACTCAGCTTATGCTTTGATATAAAAGCTGTTTGGAGAATAAAGCAAGAGGAATTCTTCAGGATGTGAACTCAGGACTTCATGATGGACCACTGAAAATCTCCTTCCTGATAAAGCCATGTGAGTTGTGTCTTTATTTCCATATTTCCACGCTGGTCCAGAAAGAGAGATAGTTTTTGTTGGGGTCTGGTCAAGAGAAATAATGGAGGGTCCGGGCTGGCACCAGACTCTGACTGGTGTCCCACAGCTTCATACAGTCCTCCATCCCCTTGATCTGCTGCAAAGCCAGTGCTTAAAGCTGCACTCAGGTCATAAGAACGTGTTGACGATTGGGGCAGACTGAGGGGCCAATGACAATGGCATTGGGATTTGTCTTTACTTCATGACTTCATGTACTGGCTTTTGGGGATCCTATTCTCTTTGGATGCATACCTTGCTCAGCCTGGATGTAGGGAGGTGGGCCTTGGACTTCCCACAGGGCAGGGTACCTTGCCCTCTCTTAGGATTGGAGGATGATGGAGGGGGAGGGTGTGTGGGGGAGCGGGAGGGAAGTGGAAGGAGGGGAGGAAGTGGGACTTAAGATTGGTATTATTTAGAAAGTAATAATAATAATAAAAAGAACCCGCTTCTCCATCTCATCTGTCCTTTCTCTCTCTAGAGCCACTGAGAGCACCTTCCCCAGCAACTTGACTTTGTTCACAGTGATGTTAACACTTTCAGAAATTTCTTCAAAAGAGTTGTCCCTGTTCATCCATTCACCAGCAGATTTCTTAAGTTTCTTTTTCTTTTTCTTTTCTTTTCTTTTTTTTCCTTTTCATTTTCACTTCTCTTCTTTCCTCCCTCCATTCCTCCCTCCCTTCCTCCCTTCCTCCTTCCTTCCCAGTTAGGTCATATTATACTGTGTAAACGTACTACATTGTCTTTTATCCATTTATCAGTGAATGAAGATCTGGTTTGATTCTATTTCACAACTTCTGTGAGTGTCATTAAATTGGTACTAATCTCTCCAATCTTGGATTTTTCTCAGGTGTGTAAAATCAATAAATAGTGACAAAGTTGTTCAATCATTAAAAGAACACAGCTGGGCACGGCTTGTGTGCAGGAGACAGAGGGGAGGAGAGGCCTGAGGTGTGGAGATGCTGGTTCTCTTGTGTAAACAGAGGAGAGTCATCATGCAGAGGCTGGTTCACATCATGACAGTCACAAAGAGACTTCTAATCAGCATATTAAGAGATTGCCTGGTGGTGGTGGAGCATGCCTTTAATCCTAGCTGTAATGGTTGTTCTGTTTCTTTAAGAGGCAAGTCACGCCCACTCCCTCCCTGCTGGCAGCCTTAAGTCTTTCTTCTCAGTCTTCCTCTGGGAAGAAGCAGCTTCTGCCTCTCCCCACTTCTCCCCTTCCCCCCCCCCTTTTCCATCCCCTCCATAACCCACCTAATAAATGTCTAACTTCACTCTGAAGAAAAGAAAATCATTACACTTGGACTCTGGTGGATTTCTCGTGGTTACCCTGGTCTATAGAGCTAGTTCCAGGGCAGCTAGTGCTGTTATACAGAGAAACCCTGTCTCAAAAACAAAACAAAACAAAACAAAAAACCACAACAAAACAAACAAACAAACAAACAAAGAGAGATAGTTCTGGGGCTCACAGGTTAAGAGCACTTGCTGCTCTCGCACTGGACCCTGGTTCAAAACCCAGCACCCACAGGGTGGCTCACAACCATCTACAGTTACAGGGGATCCCATGCCCTTTTTTGGCCTGGGATGCACAGCACACATGTGGTGCAGGCAAAACTCCAAAACACATTAAATAAAGTAAGTCTAAAAAAAGAGAGAGATCCTGGAGTGCTGTGAACCAATCCTCCTGGTTTCCCTATAAGCAGGAGTATATCCATGACTAGCTTCAGTGCAATCAGTTCTGGGTCTGTGTGGAACATTCCTTTACGCTGTATGAATGTATGTCACTATGATAGCTTTAATAGACAGGCTCCATAGCTGAACAGGGTAAAGTTAGGCGGGAGAGCCAAACAGAAAATGCTGGGAGGAAGTAGGGTGAAATCTGCGTTTTGAGGAGATACAGAGAAAAGCAAGATGAACATGCCGTGCTGAGAAAAGGTACCAAGCCACATGGCAAAGCATAGATAAGAAATATGGGTTAATTTAAATGTAAGAGTTAGCTAGTAACAAGTCCAGCCATTGGCTGAGCATTTACAATTAATATTAAGTTTCTGACTGATTATTTGGGAGCAGCTGCTGGGCAGGAAACCCCCACCTAAAGGTCTTCCTGTCATGTGCACACTTGTGCATGACATGTGGGAGCCAGGTATCAGCCTTAGTATCTTTCCTCATAAACCTGTTTTTGATATTCGCTGATTTTTGAAATAACATTTTCTTTATTTTTTTGAAAATTGCATACAACATATCTTGATCATATCCACTTCCCTTAGCATCCTCCAAACACCTCTATCCTAACTTCATGTGCTTTAAAAAAAAAGACTTAAGTCATTTCATCCACTCAGTGCTGCCCCTATGCTCACGAGTCTGAGGCCGTTCACTGGGGCCTAGGCAGTCTGCTAATGGCCACTCTTCTATCGAGAACACTCTCTCCTGATCCAGTAACCATCGGCAGTCCATAGCCCCATGTGTACGTCTGGGGCTTTAGGAGCCTCTCTCTCATCCCTGCTGGGTTTTTAAAAATTATTTTCTTCATACAATATATTTGGTTATGTTTTTTCCTCTCTGCCAACTTCTCCAAGATCCTCCTCACATCCCTACTCACCCAACTTCATGTTGTTTCTCTGCTACCTCTTTCCAAAAACAAAAACAAAGAATCAAAAACAAACTTCTGGCTGTTGTGAGCCTCCACGTGGGGTTCTGGAAACTGCACCTGGATCCTCTGGAAGGACAGCAAGAGGCCTTAACTGGTAAACCATTTATTGAGCCCTTCAAACATATTTTCTTTTTGTTAATTTTATATATTTGAATGTTTTGCCCGAATGAATGTATGTGTCCCACATGCTTGCCTGGCGCTGGTGAAGGTCAGAAGAGAGGTTCAGACCCCTGGAACTGGAGTTACAGATAGTTGTGAGCCACCTCATAGGTACTGGGAATTGAAAATGGATCCTCTGCAAGAGCAATAAGTGCCCTTAACCACTAAGCCATCTCTCAAGGCTCTCAGAATATTTTTTTATTAATTCTTTTAATTTAATTTATTTCTGTTTTAAAATTTCATTTTATATTCCAACCACAGTTTTCCCTCCCATCCTTTCTCCTACCCCTTCTTACCGCCCTCCCCCAGCCGACTTCCCATTCACTGCTCCCAAAGGGTAAGGCCTCCCATGGGGAGTCAACAAAGCTTGGTACATAACTAGAGGCCAGACCCAGCCTCCCTCCTGTCCCCATTAAAGCTGAGCATGGCATCCCACCAGAGGGAGTGGGTTCCAAAAGCCTAGCTTGTATGCCAGGGATAGACCCTGGTCCCACTGCCTGGGGCCCCTCAGACCGACCAAGATATACAACTGTCTCCTACATGCAGAGGATCTAGTTCCATCCCACGGAGGCTCCACAGCTGTCTGTGTAGAGTTTGTGAGTTCCCATGAGTTTGAATCTGCTGTCTCTGTGGATTTCCCCATCATGATCTTGACCTTCCTTGCTCATGTATTCCTCATCATCCCTCTCTTTGATACGATTCATAGAGCTTGGCCTTATGTTTGATTGTGGATCTCTGCATCTGGTCCCACCAGTTACTCAATGAAGGATCTATGATGAAAAATTCATATATTGTGTTTTGATTATCTCCATTCTTCACTTTTTTAAAGAAAGTTATTTACTTGTATTTTATGTACATTGGTGTTTAGCCTGCATCTATGTCTGTGTGAAGGTGTGGGGTTTTCTGGAACAGGAGTTAGAGACAGTTGTGAGCTCCCATGTAAGTGCTGGGAATTGAACCTAGATCCTCTGGAAGAATAGCCAGCACTCTTAACCACTGAGCCATGGCTCCAGCTCCTCATTTCTCAATCTTCCCCTAACTCCTCCCAGATCTTTCACTCACTCCTTACAAGTTCTCGTTCTCTTAAAATATTGGATGGTTCCAATTTGTATTGTTTATAAACTCCTGGGTGTGCGGCCATCCACTGGAGAATGGTCAACTCACTAGGGCCACAACCGTAAAGAATAATATCTGTCTATCTCTATTAGAAGCCACCAACTATCAATAGCTTATTATTAAAGGGTAGGACTCATGATTGACCCTATGCTGATTTTTTTTGAAAGTAATTTTATTAAATTATAAAAGTTTCCATTTCCGCCCCTCCTCCCACCACCCTCCCACTCCCCCCACTCCCTCTCCTCCTCCCTCTCCATCCCTAAGAGCAGTCAGGGTTTCCTGCCCTGTGGGAAGTTCAAGTTCCTCCCCCCTCCCTCCAGGTCCAGGAAGGTGAGTGTCCAGACAGACTGGATCCGCCCTATGCTGAGCTTTTCCCCCAAGATTTTTTAATTACATATCCAATATTCTGCCTGCATGTACGGCTGCAGGCCAGAAGAGGGCACCAGATCTCATTATAGATGGCAGTGAGCTACCATGGTGGTTGGGAATTGAAAGAGCAGGCAGGGCTCTTAACCCCTGGGCCATCTCTCCAGCCTCCCATGCTGGAATTTTTAATTGTTTTGTTTTTGTGACAGTCATTACAGTTACTGTGAGTTCATATTTTCAACAGCCATTTCACTTCTCGGAGTCAGCACCACAGTGCTCTTTCTTATTATCCAGCTTTGCAACCTTAATGAGCCTTCTTCACTCTTCTCTTTAGAGACAACCTCTCCCATGAGACATGGGTATCATCAGCGAGGTTCTGCTGACTGCCTGGGAGGATCGGAAATCCTGATGTCTTCACATTCCTATTGCCACAGCCACAAACACATGACCCTGTGCCTTGGTCTTTACCTGGGAGCTGTGGATCCCACTCAGGGCCTCATGCTTCTGCAGAAAGTATTATCTCTTTATCTCTATCTATCTATCTATCTATCTATCTATCTATCTATCTATCTATCT